CTTTGTGAAAAGAAATCGTCCATCGTTAAACAGGGGTGGAGGCCTCCAGGTTCAACTGTCCCCCTCTTACAATGCTGTGATTGCTAGTATCACTCAACCCCCTGTGAATAGTAAACAGCCATCAGTGTGCTAATGATCCATTGTTAGGCAGATGGTCGTTCTTGACCATGTGAGCAGCTGGTTTTGGTTGTCAGCAGCAAACTGGTTGATCCACTCTGAGACGGTGCTATTTAAGAGACTGAGCTGAAAACAGCACCTCAGACTGAGGAAGTCTCTCGGATGAGAGACGAAACGTTTCTATATTTTTTTGCTTTGTTTTGTTTTTTTGAATGTCCAGAGGACCAGATTGAACTTTTTTGGAAGAGCACGGTTGTTTACAAAAAGTGTAAAATAAAATTGCGGGACAATATTTTGGAAATACGACAAAATGCGTGAAAGATGAAAGCGAAGCAGCCGACCAGCGAACTCTGCAAAAAACTTCCAGGCTTCCCCAAATGCTGCGAAGATTTCCCTCTCCATCTCCTGCTATATCACAAGGGATTTATGAGTAGACAGCTCAGTTGAAGGTGAGGGGATTAGATTTATTTTTAATACGCTGGATCCAATGTACGTTATTCCTTAACGTAGCTTTTTTTTTTTTTTTTTGCGATAAAGCAGCAGCACAACTTCACCATGAAACAACAGATGGGAGAAGCTCTGATGCAGCTGCAGCTCAAAGGTAACTGTTATTTCTCATCCATCCATCCATTATCTTTACCCGCTTATTCCATTTTGGGTCACGGGGGTCGCTGGTGCCCATGTCCAGCAATCACTGTGCGAGGGGCGGGGTACACCCTGGACGGGTTGCAAGTCCATCATAGGGCCACATAGAGACAAACAACCATTCACTCTCTCATTCACACCTAGGGACAATTTAGAGTTACCAATCAGCCTAACATGCATGTTTTTGGTCTGTGGGAGGAAACCGGAGCACCCGGAGAAAACCCACGCATGCACGGAGAGGACATGCAAATTCCACCCAGAAAGGCCCCTGGACCGGGGTTTGAACCAAGGACCTGCTCACTGAGAGGCAGCGGCTCTACCAGTTGCGCCACCGTGCTGCCCTGTTATTTCTCATATTATACTAAAACTTATAAAGTTATACAACAAACAATGTAATTTGTCTTTTTAACAGGTGGAAGAGGACAGATTAGAAACATCACCTGGAGCCAGTTCTAAATGATACAATTTATGGTTTATAAATTACAGTTCAGAAGTTTTTGTGCAGGTTTGCACAGGTTTTGAAATTTTGTGAAATATTGACTAAATATGAATCCATATGGCTAAGACTGTGAAGTCTGTATATTTCATGTTAGGTTAAGTGTTGAAAATATAACAAATGTTAGAGCAATATGGTTAAAAAAAAACTGACGTCTGTATTTTATGTTGAGTTAAATGTTAATGTACTATGGTAGGCTGAAGTCTGTTTACTTTTGTATTTATATATTTTGAATTATTTGTCTGTGATGGACTGAAGACCTGTCCAGGTGTCCCCCACCTCTCACACGGTGATGACTGGATGTGGGCACCAGTGACCCCCGTGACCTGTAAAGGAAGAAGTGGGTAAAGATGATGGACGGATGAATTATTTGTTCTGAGATTTTTATTTATTTTATAATTTTTTAAGAAAAATCCAGACAACTAAGCTAACCTAAAACTGGTCATTTAAGTTACAGAATTTTATGCACTCCTATAGTTTGTCTTATTTTTGATATAAATATAAAATAATGCAAAAAGATTTGATACAGTAAAGAACATAAAATTATTGTTTTTAAATAAATGTTCTATTTGTTTACATTGTTGTTTAAGCTTTTCAGCTTGCCATATACATTATCAATGAAACAAAATTTATGACCATTTCAATAGAAAAATCGTTTGTGAATCGAAAATCGTTTCTGAATCGGAAAAATTGATTTTTGGATCGCAGCAGCGTGACACCAAAAATCTGAATCGAATCTCCAGATACAGAGATTTGCACCCGTAGTGGGCGGTGCATGCGGTTCGGTATGTGGGGCGCTCTGTTCAGTTGACGGGGCACCCCGCTTGTATAATGGTAGGGGAAACACTGGATTAACTACAGAACAAGGATAGTGAAAGTCTGGGGTAGAAAGTATATAAACAATGAAAAGCAAACATTTACTCAGATAAAATGAAGCGTTACAGGAAGCACAGATGTAAACCAGAGAAAATATAAAGCAGATTAAAATGAATACTGACCTTTTTCTAACTATGTCTACATTAGACTGAAGCTTTTCATAGTTGATAAAAGAAGTGGGCTCAAAGCGGCTCATTGACACTCTGGCCTTAGCCCTGTAAGCCGCCGATACATGAAGACGCCGTACTCCATGGCCCAGGACCAGCTGAAGACAAGAGCAACATAAGCACATATGTAGATTATTCTTCATTCACACTCTAGATTTAGCATGCTTGCGTGCCCACCGACAAAAACAATCAATCAATCAATCAATTCAACTTTATTGTCCATATCATTCAATGAAATGGAGATTTGTCTTTGACATATGGCTTATAAAACAAAATAAAAATGTGATTAAAAACTCTAAAAAACTTAAAACCAAACTTTGCTAAATCAATTTAAAACATTCAGTTAAAACCATTCTAAAATACACAATACATTAGAATATGAAAACATCTCAGCAGACAGTGGTTTGTTATGTGAGGCTGCGTTTAAATAGGACCTTGTTAAGTACATTCACCGCAGAGGGAACAAATGACTTTTTGTACCCGTTTTTCTTTGCTAAAGGAACCAGGAGTCTTCTACCAGATGGTACCAACCTGAATAATGGTTGCAGTGGATGAGTTGGGTCATTGTAAACCTGGATTGCCTTTTTTTTTAAGAACCTGACTGTACAGGTCTGTAGGTGTCATTTGTTGATGACCAATGACTTTACTACCTTGTCTGACCACCCGGGACAACTTGTTCCTGTCTCTGGCTAGGAGGTTCCCATAGCATGAGACAATATTAAATGAAACAACACTTTCAACCAGTGACCTGTACACCAACTGCAAAGTAATTTTGCTTGCATTAAAGCTCCTTAGCTTATACAGAAGGTGGAGACGCTGTCTAGCTTTTTTGTAAATATAGTCAGTGTTGGGTTCAAAGGTCAACTTGTTGTCAATTATTGTTCCAAGGTATTTAAAATTAGTCACCTGCTCTACTTCCTGCCCTTTTATAATAGAAGGCCTAAAAGTAGGTCTGGTGCTGGCTGCTCCCATCTACCTCCCAAACAAAGTTCCTTGGTTTTACTGACATTAAGGGCCAGGAAACTGTCATCAAACCAGATAGAGAGCTGGTCTATGAGCAAGATGTGGACAATAATGTTCTGAGTGGGTATGTCTCTCTGTTACCAAAATATCTCATAAAGCACAGGACAGATTTAATAAAACTTTCAGAAAGTTATCTTTGGATGCACATCTACAACTGATTTACTTTTGAAGTCCACCCAACTCAAAATGGCCACTACAGCTGAGCAACTAAAGCAAACAAAAATGGTTAAAACGGAATTTTATAGACACGGGTTCAAGTTCTGTGTGGTAGTAACAGAAACATCCCGAACACATAGGGCTGGACGATAAGGCAAAAATTTTATCACAATATATTTCTTAATTTCGGTTGATAACGATATAATTCGATATTGATATAAACAATATAAAAGCCTCAGAAAAACTGTACAAAGTGTACAAATAAATTAATTTTCACCTTTTATTTCTATATAGCCTTCAAAAAATTTTGAAATCACCAAACGTAAAACTCTCAACTTCGTCAATCTTTTAAATTTATTAATTAATTTAAGAGAAAAAAAATAAACAAAACAAATTCATCAAAAAGAAAAAAACATTGGATGAAAAGGGTGCAGAAAGAAGAATATCTGCCCCTTTATTTAAAAAATAAAATAAAATAACTACAAAACAACAACTCAGGCTTAAACCCCAAAGCTAAACAAAAAACATCAGGCATTCTTCACATGGTATCATAGTTTCCTAACAACTTTAACTTAATCATCTCTCTAAACATATAAATTGTTTTGCCATGCCATATCATTTTATTTATAGAGCACTTAAAACAGCTACAAGGCCAACCAAAGTGCTGTACAGACAGAACAAAAGACAACACACGAAGCAAAATACAAAATGAAGTGCATCAGAATATAGACATAAAAACGATGCAGATAATAAATATGACGACTAACCAGTGTGGAGCATACAGGTTCAAAACACAGATCCTCTGGTGTTGAAAGCTACTGAATAGTAGTGAGTTTTTAAACGGGACTTGAAAACCGAGAGGGAGGGGGCCAGTCTGATAAGCAGAGGTAACTCGTTCCAAAGTCTTGGTCCAGCTACAGAGAAGGCCCTGTCACCTCTGCGCTTAAGACGAGTTCCTGGAACTGTGAGGAGCAACTGGTCCGCTGACCTCAGGGAACGTGGTGGGACATACGGTTGTAGCAAATCAGAGAGATGTGGGTGGGGGGGTTTAACTGTTCAGTGATTTGTAGACATACAGCAATATTTTGAAATGGATTCGGAGGTGAACCGGTAGCCAGTGCAGTGAGGCCAAAACTGGTGTAATGTGCTCTCTTTTGCCTGCACTGGTTAAAAATCGGGCTGCTGCATTCTGGACCAGTTGTAGTCGTGCAATGGAGGTCTGACTGATACCAAACAGGAGTGAATTGCAGTAATCAAGCCTAGATGTAATGAATGCATGTATTACTGTCTCCAGGTTCTTTTTGGACAATATGGGCTTCAGTTTAAACAGCCGCCTCAGTTGGAAGAAACATGATTTAACAATCATGTTTACGTGACTGTTAAGTTTCAGGGAAGGGTCCATTATCACGCCCAGATTAGTGACTCTTTGTTTTTCTGACAGGGTTAGAGTGGAAAGGTCGATGCAGTGGTTTGTGATCGTGTCATTGGGAGTATGCTGGTGAAGATTCTCAGTCATCCAAGACATGATGACTTCAAAAAGCGTTCAATACAAAAACAACTGGACTTTATTTGTAACAGAAGACGTTTCGCTCCTCATCCGAGGAGCTTTCTCAATTCAGTGAGCAGTGAGTTGGTATGTTTACATGGACATAAGTAACCGGATCAAATGGCCGGTCGGAATAAAAGTGTGTCATGTAAACGCTCCGTTCGGGTTATTTTTTGTGTATTCGGCGCGATCCGTTATAATTTGTGATCAGAACGAAACGGGTGGTTTACGCCGATCCGAAACCCGATCGGTGCGCATGTAAACGCTTGATCTGTTCGTTTTTATCTGATGGTGAAAAACTGACCTGACTGCGCATGTGCGACTTTGCCATTTCCGCCTGGCTAACGCTAATAATATTAGCATGTCAGGGAAGTAAAACTGGTCGGTGAGCGACACAACATTTCTACTAGAAACTTTTAAAGAGCTCAAAATGATTTATATTACCTGTAGCTCAGTCAGGGAGTGCAATAACGTCTCCACCATCATTAAAACCTGTCGCGGGTCCATTTTGGGTGCGCAGGTTTGTTTACGTTCACCCGGAAGTAGAACTTCTTCTTCAGTGTTTTTTTAAGGAGAGTTTACCACTCTGCGCATGTCAGTACTGCTGTTCAGAACAAAGCCCGCTGCATGTAAACGCTCATCATGAACAGATTGTGCCCATGTAAACAACACATTTGAATTATTCAAACAGAACACATTTCAATCCGGTCAGAGAATTCTGCGCATGTAAACATAGCTAGTGAGAGATTCAGATATAAGGCTGAGAGAGAGAAGACAAATACACATATGTAGATTTGACAAGTCACACCTCCACACCTTAACTGTAGGGGGTTTCTTAAAGTCTTTGTTACTCTAATTCACAGATGAGACCCCTCTGTTCCCATCAGGTGTGAAAACTGGCTGGGAATCAGTCTTAAAGTTGCATTATAGGTTTTTGAAAGTGGAAATCTGAGGCCTCCTCCTCTGTTAAGACACAGCTTTTCTCTTTTTACATAAATTGCTTCCTTCACCCCCCTCTCAAACCATCTGTGTTCTCGGTCCAAAAGTCCTCTAAAGAGTGTCCCTTATCTGTGAGGTGGAGGAGAACAGCTGAGTCTTGTCCTGTAGAGCTGGCTCTCCTGTGTTGAGCTATGCGTCTGTGAAGAGGCCGTTTAGTTTCTCCAATATAGAGGTCTGGACAGTCCTCGCTGCACTGGACTGCATACACTACACCACTTTTTGTGTATAGGTGTTTTGTCCTTAGGGTGGATCAGCCTCTGTCTGAGAGTCCTGCTGGGTTTGAAATGTACTGAGATGTTGTGTTTGTTGAAAATCCTTCTGAATTTCTCTGATACTCCAGCAACATAAAGGATGACAATGTTTTTCTGTCTGTTGTTCTCCTTTTTCTGTTTGCATGTTTTGTAGATTTCCTCGCTGACTTGACAAAAGCCCAGTTAGGATATCCACATGTTTGGAGAGCTTCTTGAATGCGTTTCTTTTCCTTTTCCTTCCCTTCTGTCTTCGTGGGGACGCGTTCGGCCCGATGCTGTAGAGTTCTGATGACAGAGAGTTTGTGTTCCAGTGGATGGTGAGAGTCAAACAGAAGATACTGGTCTGTGTGGGTTGGTTTTCTGTAAACTTCAATGTTGAGACTGTCCTCTCTTTCCATCTGAACCAAACAGTCCAAAAAAGGCAGCTTGTTGTCGTTTGCATCCTCTCCGGTGAACTTGATGTTGTTATCGACCGAGTTAATGTGTCTGGTGAACACTTGTATTTCCTTAGCTTGGATTTTGACCCAGGTGTCATCCACATATCGGAACCAATGTTAAGGTGTGGAGGTGTGACTTGTCAAATCTACATATGTGTGTGTGTCGTATCACACTGGGTATGTTTACATGGACATAAGTAACCAGATCAAATGGCCGGTCGGAACAAAAGTGTGTCATGTAAACACTCCGTTCGGGTTATTTTTTGTGTATTCGACGAGATCCGATATAATTTGTGATCAGAACGAAACGGGTGGTTTACGCCGATCCGTAACCCGATCGGTGCGCATGTAAACGCTTGATCTGTTCGTTTTTATCTGATCATGAAAAACTGACCTGACTGCGCATGTGCGACTGCCATTTCCGCCTGGCTAATGCTAATAATATTAGCTTGTCAGGGGAGCAAAACTGGTTGGTGAGCGACAACATTTCTACTAGAAACTTTGAAAGAGCTCAAAATGATTTCTATTACCTGTAGCTCAGTCAGGGGGTGCAGTAACGTCTCCACCATCATTAAAACCTGTCGTGGGTCCATTTTGGGTGCTCAGGTTTGTTTACGTTCACCCTGGAAGTAGAACTTCTTCTGTGTTTTTTTTAAGGAGAGTTTGCCACTCTGCGCATGTCAGTT